GGGGGCGTGGCACTAAGCCCCCAGGTTCATCCTCAGCGGGAGGCCTCTGTGTGATCCCAGCCAGTCACCTGCTGGTCCCTCCTGCTCCTCCAGGCATGTCAGAGCGGGAGCGCCAGGTCATGAAGAAGCTGAAGGAGGTGGTGGACAAGCAGCGCGACGAGATCCGCGCCAAGGACAGGGAGCTGGGCCTGAAGAATGAGGACGTGGAGGCCGTGAGTGGCAAGCCCCCTGCCCGGCACCACCTCCGGCCAGCAGGGCCAGCAGGAGGCCGGTCTCCCCGTCACTCCCGTCCTCAGGGCATGGTGGGGTAGGCAGGACCCTCGGCCCAGTCTTTACTGGAAGAACCAGAGGGAACGTGGCACTGCGTGGTGACTGGGTCCCTTCACCCCCAGGGGAGATCCCGAGGCCCCATCAGCCTTTGCTCTGACCCTAGGGCCTCTTCCAGTCCCCACACCCTACCCCCTGCATGGCCCTCTGTAAGCAGACGTAGCAGGGTCCAGGCTGCTCCAGGAGCTCAGACAGCAACTCTGCCTGAGTTGGAGAAAGACACCCCTTTCTCAAAAGCAGGCTACTTCTATCTATTGGGAAATTGTCATCATAGGTTAATTCTACCAAGACTCTTACCCTTCCATCTGCCATAAAAGAATCATAATAGCCGGGCTCAGTGGCTCAGCCTGTAATCCCGTGCCTTTGGGAGGCTGAGGTGAGTGGATTGCTTGAGCCCGCAGGTTCGAGACCCACCTGGGCAGTGAGATCTCATCTCTATAATAAATAAAAAAATCAGCCGGGCATGGTAGCGCCTGCCTGTAATTCCGGCTACTTGGAAGGCTGAGGCGGAAGGATCGCCAGAGCCCAGCAGGTCGAGGCTGCGGTGGCTGGGAGCGGCCACTGCACTCCAGTCTGGGTGACAGAGCGAGACTCCAACTCAAAAAAAAAAAAAGTGTCATAGTAAATACATGAACTGCTCATCTTGGTGTCAAAGGTTGTAAGAATATGAACAAATTTCAAAGAGAGATATCTACAGTGCGACTGGCACACTGTAGTTGACTTGCCCTTGTGCGGTGCACAACCTGAGCAGCCCCACTCACTGGCCTCCCTCTTCCTACAGCTGCAGCAGCAGCAGACACGGCTGATGAAGATCAACCATGACCTTCGGCACCGGGTCACAGTGGTAGAGGCCCAGGGGAAGGCCCTGATCGAACAGAAGGTGGAGCTGGAGGCAGATTTGCAGACCAAGGAGCAGGAGATGGGCAGCCTGCGGGTGGAGCTTGGGAAGCTGCGAGAGAGGCTGCAGGGCGAGCCCAGCCAGAATGGGGAAGAGGAGGCTGAGGTGAGTGGGGAGCTGGGTGTGGAGGCCGGAGGGAGCTGGGAGTGGAGGCCAGAGGGGAGGGTGAGTTGCAGCCGGCTTGAGGCAGGCTGCTTGCCTGGTATTCCTCATTATGAAGAAAATGGAGGACTGGGCTTGGTGGTTCAGCCTGTAATCCCAGCACTTTGGGAAGCTGAGGTGAGTGGATTGCCTGAGCCCGCGGGTTCGAGACTAGTCCTGTCAATTTAGGGAGACCTCGTCTCTACAATAAAAAAAAAGCCGGGCTCGGTGGCTCAGCCTGTAATCCCACACCTTTGGGAGGCTGAGGT